AGGAGAGGCTTGTGGTCGACTGCAATTATCAGGTTGCTGCAGCCGAGAACGAAGAAGCGTGCCTTGTCGAGGGCATCAGCTACAGCTAGGGCTTCACCTTCTATTGGGGCATAGCGTGACTCTGCTGCATGAGTGAAACGGCTACCCACTAGGGTCACTTTCCAGCCGGTACGGCAGCAAAAGGGTTCTGTACAGGGGCACTTGCAGTGTTTCTGGAAGAGCCAGTAACCAATGCCGGTTTTTGACCAGTCAGTGGCAAGACAAGTTGGCTTTGATTTGTCGAAGATACGGACACCGTCTTCGATGTCGGAGATGATAGCTGACTTAGATTCTTCATAGTCGGCTAAGTTCATTGTTCCACAGGAACGGAGTCCCAGGTTTCAGCGACTCGCGRAATGGAAGCATGCGTTCAGTTGCTGCGAAGGCATATGAAACCTGGTTGACCAGACCAAACCAGGAGCGCATGTCGGTAATGTTGCTTGGGGTGGGAAAGTGGCGAATGRCATCAAGGTATTTGGCGCATGGGCGCACACTGTTGAGTGTTATTTMGAATCCTGCGAATTCAACTGTGTCAGCCGCAAAGGTAAACTTGTCAGGGTTAAGTGTTATTCCATGTCGCCCACATGTGTCGAGCCAGTTAACCGCTTGATGAAAGCTGCTTGTGATGTCATCTGCCCACAAAAGGGTGTCATCGATGCATTTCGTCTTATCAGGGATGTCATCAAATCTTCGAGAGTACCCGTCTCCAGACGCAATGTGCTCCTGAGGGGCTGTGTTGTATCGATACCGTCCACATGGGGTAATGAAGGTGGTAAGGTGACGGTCATCTTTGTGTAGTGGAACGCTGTGATACCCGTTCCAGCAGTCAAATTCAGTTTTCTTCTTGTTGTGGGGGACGGAGCGTGCTTGGTGGAATGGACTTTGAGTGTGGTGAGTCTCTCGTGTAGCATGGAGTTGAGGGAATGAAAGTCCACAGTGCGACGTGGTTTACCGTTTTTCTTTGGGCACACAACCATGCGGTGGCACCATGTCACTGGCTCTCCAACTGGCACGGRCTCTAGGACACCGAGGGCAACATCCTGGTCGAGGCCGGCTTTGACTGCCTCCTGCCAGTGGAGTGGGACAGAAAGTGGTGTATGGTGGGCCACAGGCTCTGCTTCTGGGTCTATCATGAGTCGCATGGGAGGGCCATCCATGAGGGGAAACTGTTGGTGTTCGCACGTGTTGAATGTGCTGGACTTGTAATAAGCAAGGAGCCAATCCTGTAGGGGTTTCCGATTGGTCTCTGTTGCGAGGAAGGGTGGTGCGGTCGGCTTGGGAGGTGGCTCCTGTCGTCGCGGGCAGTTACATGCTGGTAGTTTAGTTTGCTGGGTTGTTTGGTCTGCTGATCCGACTGACGTGGTGGTGGTGTGGTTGTGTTGCGGAGGAGACGTCTCTCCCACAGTGGGGAATCGTTCTGAGATGATTCCCAGGTCCTGACAGGTTTCCCGGCTTATGAATAGGCGATCTGAGTCGTTAGTGACATATGCAATCTGCCTTGTCTCGAGGTGTTGCCCAGGTGCAGTTGTGCCTGTCAATCGTAGGATAATGGCACCAAGGATCTTTATGCCGCTGTTGTTAGCTGCACGCATGCGTGTGGTGACGGGGATTAGGTCTGTTTCACTTAACCCCAGGCGGCGTACAATGCTCAAGCTTACAAGACAGCTTTGACAGCCTGTGTCTGCCATTGCGGATATCTGTATGGACTTTGGTGTGCTGGTAACCGGTTTGTATCCAAGAGCTGCATAGTCTTGTGGGTGGATGGTGGCGTTAAGCGAGATGTGTGGCTGTGGCTTGGATGCACGTCGGATCCAGCAGTCGTTCATGTTATTGTATAGGTGGTGATCCAGAGCAATGCCATAGACGGTGTGGTTCCCGCTGGTGACACTGCTCAGGTTGTCGAAGATGGCGCCTTCTGTTTGTCTGCCCTTGCCGTCTGGGATGGGAGGTCTCAGCTGAAGGGGCTTGTTTTTGCTTTTACATACTGTAGCGAAGTGGTTTTGGCGACCACAGAGTTGGCAGGTTGTGCCGAAGGCCGGKMACTMKTTGTCGTTGTTTGRCAGAGGTTTTGTGRCCATGGCCTTGTTTTCCACAGTAGTAGCAGGCTTCRATGTGGGGTTTGTCGTTTGGTTTGTCACTGGGTTTCCGACTGGRGTTCTGCTGCTTTCGGTATTKGMTTCGCATTGCCTCAGCACCTTGGGTGTGGAGGAGGCGTCCTGCTGATCGCTTGCCAGACTCCTTGGCCTCCACATATTGTAGGACTTCTTCTAGTGACATATCTTGGTTCTTCTMTCCGAGTAGATCTAGTTGGATTTCGTCATCCGCTAGGCCACGAGTGACAACGTCTMGGAGTACATTCTCAGTGAAGTTAACGTCGGMGCTGCATCSAGGACACTTGACTAGAAATTTGCATTCACCGGCTTGTYCGCGGAGGCGTGCGCCGAAGCTTCTTATTGTCTCGTCCCTGTCCTGTCKCATGTTGTGGAGTTGGACCCTGGCTACCATGGCGTTTTCCTCTCGAACAGCCAGCTTCTTGATAGCCTTGAGGACGTCTTCGGTGGTTTTGTTTRTTAAAGATCCGCCTGCAGTGCGTGTAAGGTCTTTCCGGAGCTGTTCSTCACAACATTCGAGGAGTTGAATGACCTTATCTTTGCCCTGTACTTYCGTTGCCTCGACGTAGTCCCCCCWGCGTGTCATAAAATAGGACCATTCCTCGCTGGTTCCAGCGCTCGATATTGTTGGTCGGCGTACTTTCTCGATCTTGGCCGTTTGATTAGAGGGGCTGGGGGCACCATGAACTGGAGGACTCGTGTGGGCACCTTTCGCGTGAACAGAGATTAGCACAGCGGCAAGCTCGTCTCCAACGTCGGCAGTCTCGTAGTCACAATCTGGGAAGGGGCACTTGTGTTTTGTCATCGTGTTTGAGGTTTGAGGTTTGATTGACCTGTGATTCGCTTTTGACTCGTCGAAAATTGTGTAAGATCTCAGGTTTTGATCGCGGTAAAATTCAAGATACGTTGTAACGTAGTTTTGTGCCGTAGTTCTGTCTCTTGAACGTTTCCCTCGCAGTGTTAGAGATGGTAGTCGTCTATCATAGATAGGAGTCCATCCATTTCTTTGTTAAAGACGGTTTATTCCAGTATAACAAGCAGAATGATAGACGACTACAAACAACTACATACAACTACATACRGGGCTTTGRCMGGGCTAATCCCAGTCTCTCCACAGGGAGACCACATATTTCTCTAGTAAATACTTAGAAAACTGATTTGAAGCTAGCTGCGTGGAGGCAAAATCTAGAACTATAAAATTCTTCGTCGAATCGAGAACTGGAACTTCATTTAGGACTCCGAGCACACAATTCTAACGCCGTTTCCGCGTCATCATTTAACTCCGCTTACCGAATACTATCCTCTATAGGGAAACGAGTAGCATTTGCGCGGGAAATGTGGGATTCCTGTGGCGATTGTGGTATCGAATGATTGCAATAGTTTTTTCCTTGATTATTGCCTATTATATTCTACGATTTATTTGTGAAATGGCCACATGCAGACTTACAATGCGAAGGTTTTCAAAATCATCTAAAACATCGGTAACATTATCCTCTGTTTCTTTGCTTAGCTTCTTTTCGCAGGTTCTACACATGCCTATAAACGCAAAAAAGAATAGATGTAATTCGCTGTTTGGTAGTTCTGTCGGGAACGACGAGAACACCAAATAAATCGCTATGACAAGGTCAGACAAACAGAGTCATACTTTTCTGGTCGCCATGTTTTAATTGTACCATGTGCTCCACAGGCACCCCAGCCTTTACACAGGCCTTCCAACACCTTACAAATTTACTTCTCGACACTATTCCTCCCCCCATTTAAATGTTACATTTAAATGTTTATGCTCTCTACTCTAACCAGAAGTATTACAATGCCCTTTTTTTTAACAGTAACAGTAAATAACAATGTTCAACATCATGAATAAGGTTGACTAACAAAGTTTATCAATGTTCATTCTTCAACATCTTCTTCTTGTGCAATCATCTTGAACTTTTGATTTGCTGCGTCTTTCGTCTTCCTGCTTGGTTGAACTCTCTGCATCACCTCCTCCTTTCTGGTTGGATTCCAACTGGAATCTTCGCCGCCGACTTCTAAGGTACACACTAGTTGTAATGGGCGTTCAATTAGGTAACCGTTACCCAATTTGATCTTGAGTCCTTTCTTGTCTTTACCAATGACTTGACTCACGACACGTCCGAGTTTCCATTGTACTTTGTGCTTGTTGTCGCCTTTCAGTAGTACTACAGATCCTGTTTTGGGTACCTTCTTTACCTCTTCACCAAGTATTGGATGCCTCTCCTCCAATGCATGTACATATTCTTTGACAAATCTCTTCCTTACATCAGCCTTTGCCTTTAGAAGTAATCGCACCCGTTTGCACATGTCATCATCGTTTAGACGTTCCAAGTCTTCCTCTAACACAGGAGTAGGCCTTCCTCTTAACAAAGTATTTGGAGTAATGACTGGTTGCTCAAACTCCTCTCCAAGATAAGTAAGTGGTCTATTGTTCATCGTGTTCTCTACATCAATAAGGACTTCATTTAGCTCCTGAAAGGTAAGTAGACTTCTACCAACAACCTTTGAGAGTGTTCGTTTAACAATGCCAATGAGCCTCTCAAAGAAACCGCCCCACCAAGGGGCTCGAGACAAGTTGAACCTCCATTTTACATCGAGTGCTGCCAGATAGTTAGCTAAACTTTGATCCTTCTTGAGAGTGTTGAGCCACTTTCCGGTGGCGACAAATGTCTTCCCATTATCACTTATTAGTAATGCCGGGCAACCTCTTCGAGCGACAAATTCTTTTAATGCTCTTTGGAATTCTGTGGCAGTCAGGTTTTGACACAGCTTCAGGTGAACTGCTCTACTACTAGCACAAGTAAATAGAGCAACATATGCCTTCTTGGTAGTTTTCTTCTTATCCTTGTAGTAAACTGGTCCAGCAAAGTCAACGCCTGTTACTGTGAATGGTACTGTAAGTTCAGATCTGAACTCTGGTAGTAGAGACTTTGGCATGCGGGCATCAGCTAGTGGTTTTGCTCGGTATCGCTTGCACACGTTGCAGTCATGAACAATCTTCTTTACAAGGCTTCTCAGCTTTGGCACCCACAGTTTCTCTCTTACTAGATGCATTGTTGTGGACACTCCCCCGTGCAAGATCTTCTCGTGATTCTGTTTGACAATAAGAGTTGTCAGATCATGATTTCTTGGGAGAAAGATAGGGTTGTAGTTTGGTACTCTTCCAACACATCTCCAAATTCCATCAGCATCCTTTTGTAGCTCGATGGGTGACTTAATAGGCTTGTCATTGGACTGAGCTCGACGAATCCAGAACTTCTCGGCTCCTTGAATTTCCTCAGTTGTTAATACTCCAACTTGCTTGTTTCCTCTGCAGTTGTTGATAAAGCGAAGGATCAATGCTGTTACTCTAAGTAGCTTCCAATATGACGAGTAGTGGTGTGGTAACCTTTCAAAGGTATCTTCCTCTTTCCGTTCTTCTTTGACTAAAAGTTGTTTCTCTACATGTACAACTTCCTTCGCAGCTTCATCTGTTTCACAAGTTTGCGGTTGACGAGGCCATTTATTTGGATCTTTCAGCCAGGCTGGTCCTTTAAACCAGAAGTGGGTAAGCTTCCCTGGCACACTCCCTCTGCTACCTATGTCGCTAGGATTTTCTTCAGTTGGAACATAGTGCCATTGCATATATTCGTTCTCTTTGATGCTGTTTGTCCTGTTGCGTATAAATCGTGACCATGTTCCTTTTCCTTCAATCCAGTACAATACAGTAGTGCTATCAACCCATCCGTGGAACTCAGAAATTGGTAGATCGTGGAGGGTGATCTTGACATGATTCATGAGTCGGCTGAGTGTGTGGGCTGCAATTAACTCCAACCGAGGAATCGTCTGATCCTTTGGAGCAATTCGAGACTTAGCCACAAGTAGATTCTGACAAATGCTTGTATCGTTGTGATACGCCAAGACATAAATAGCTACTCCGACTGCTAACTTGCTTGCGTCGGCGAATCCATGGAGTGTCATTTTAACCAGTGCTGCACTAACAACACTTCGTGGTACTTTGATGACAGGATGGTCCTTCAAGCTCTGCAGCCACCTTTTCCACATCTTTCTCACATCCTCTGGTACCGCGTCGTCCCATTTGAGCTTCGTTGAGCACACCTTGCTATAGATGATCTTTGCTATGATGACGACTGGCGCAGCCAGTCCAAGCAAATCATAGATCTGATTAATAGACGATAGTATCTGCCTCTTGGTCACACAATGTTCCTCACTTTGATGTGAGCTGGGCTGGAAGCTTACTGTAATAGTGTCATCCTGTTTGTTCCATGGGACTCCTAAGATCTTTGTTTCCGTTGAATGCTCTTGGTTTGGTGCTGATGATTCTTCTACTTCCAAACAATTGCTGTGCCATTTATGCAAAATAAATCCTCCTTCCTTCATGATCTCTGTTGATTCATTCTTGAACTTAAGTAGCTGTTCCTTTTTGTCTCCTCCAGATTGGATGTCATCAACATAGGTATTGTTCAACAATTCCTTCACCGTCTCTGGATATTCCTCTTTATACTGACTGACATGCTTGTTGAGAGTTGCACCAAGTATGTAAGGACTTGGTCCCGAGCCAAATATAACACGTGTAAATCGGTATTCTACAATGTTCCTGTTTACAAGATCATCATACCACAGCAATCTTAATGCATCCCTGTCTTCAGGATGGACTCGAATTTGCAAGAAAGCTTTTTGAATGTCTCCAGCAATCCACAATGTTTTAGTTCTGTTCCTCAGTAGAATGTCGAAGATCTTTGGCTGTAGCGCAGGACCAACCTCTAGGCAGTCATTAAGAGATGGCTCTTGGGGCTTAGATTTAGATGAACAATCATACACTATCCTCAGTTTTGTTGACTCAGCGTCATCTCTAAAAACCGGTTGATGTGGGACGTAGTGAATCGTGTTGCCAGTTGGGGTGTCAGGAACTTGCTCAAGAATTCCCTTATGTACTTGCTCTTGCATTATAGCATGGTATTCCTCCAGTTTCTCCAAGTTGTCAAGCTTTTTAGCAGTACTTCTGAGTCTTGCTAGAGCTATCTCCCTGTTCTCTGCTAAAGGCAAGTGGTCTGGTTTCCATGGTAACCGAGTAGAGTAAGTTCCATCATCTTGTCTGCAAATTTGTTCCTGGAATTTTTCATGACACAAGTCCTGATCTATATCATCAGTAAGTCCAAACACTTCTTGTGAGCACATTTGTTTGAATTCATCTGAGCTGGACTTTAAGAAGAAATTCTTGTCTGCCTCTACACAGCTTGTGACAGATTTTCCTGCTGCTATCCATCCAAGTCGAGTGAGCTCTGCACCGGGATCTGTGTCTGGGTTTGGTCCAAGCACAGGAGCTGTTGTGGTCTTTATTCTTTGCAAATCAGCGGCACCAAGTATGACATGCACAGGCAAGCTATCTTGATCAGCATTCTCATCACTGAACTTCAAAGGCATTAAGTGTGGATATTTGTTCTTGAGCTCTGAAATGTTAGGGTTAGGTAGGTATGTCAAAGTAGGCTTTTCTGCATTGATGCATTGCAATGTCATGCTAAAAGCACTTGAGTATAGAGATTCAATTTGTACTGAGTGGATCTCTACTTGTTTGTCAACAGTTCCATACATTTGCTCGATAAGTCTTCTTTCAATGCATACTGGTTTTGACTTGAGCTCATTTAAAAGATTACTGCTAATATATGAACTTCCTGCTCCACTGTCTAGCATAATACGTGCAGGTATACCATTCACTTGAGCAATAATAGTGGCATGTAAGGTTGTTTGCATGTCAAGTACACTATAAAATCTCTCTCTAGGTGGAGTAGGTTCTTTAAAGGTAGAAGTTGAAGAAAATGTTGTGTTTGTTTTATCACATAACGATGTGTGATGCTTGCTGTTGCACTTAGTGCATCCACGTGACTTACATTGAGAAGCAGCGTGCCCAGGTTTGGCACAGTTGTAGCATGCCTTTTTCCTTTTGAGGATTTCTCTTCTACTAGCAATGTCAAGAACCTTTGTGCAATTCAATGATCGGTGTCCTGGAGAATCACAATACACACAAGCTCCAACAGTGAATGATTGTTGGGTAGGTGGGCTTGCTAACATTGCCTTTTCTTTCCTTTTTACTTCCATTTGTTGTTGTTGTTGCATTTGCTCCCCCGTCTTGAATGTAGGTAATGGGTTGCGGTCTGTGTACTTTCGTAAGTTTTCAACAATGTCATCAAGGCCCCACCCTTCCCAGTCATCATCACTTTGCACAATAATTTCTCTTACCGGGCCAAGTTTGTCCATAATACTGTAAGTGTAAGCTTGAGATCTGTCTAATTTCTTCATTGTTGATAAGGTTCTGACAGTTCTAGATAGTCTTATGTAGAACTCATGAATTTCCTTAATCTTGTGGATGTTTGTAATAGTAGGTAATGACTCCAAATCTCGAATCAAAGCTTTGTGAACTTGATTGTCTTTGCCATAAGTCATTTCTAAGACCTTTTTTGCTTCTTCATATCCCTCAGCAGAGTGAGGAAGTCCTAGAATATGTTCTTTCGGTTGACCTTGTACCAATTCAAGCAGATAATTAAATTTACTGATCTCTGGAATGCTTGAGCCATCAACTTCAACTTTAAATTGATTCCAAAATCTTATCCAGTCTCTGCAGTCTCCAGTAAAGGGTGTGATTGTGTACTTTTGTAATTTAACTGACTGTGGCTTTGTAGATTTTTCTTCGTTTTTCTTCCGCATTAGCTCGAGCTCGAATTCGAGCTTCTTTTGATATGTTTCTTTTTCTAGTTGGTGTGATTCTTTTCTTTCCATATCGCTTATTCTGTCCTTTAACTCACTCTTAAAGTTACGAATATGCAATAAATCTGTTTTGTTAGATTGTGACCACAATCTTATCTCTTCAAGCGACACCTCTTCGTCTAACATGGCGTCTTTCACACGATTGCTTGCCTCGTCTAGACCTTTGTAAATCTCGAAAATTCTGTCAAATGCTATGTGAATGTCATCCTTATCTGCTGTTTGTAATGTCTCCTTTAGTTCCTCGACGTGAAAGTTTGCTTTCCTTAATTCCTTTTTGTAGTTTGCTTTGAGATCCTCCACCATGTTTATGTTCCTTGTGTTGTTGATCGATCTTGCTCGATTGATCCCTTCAGTTTATTTTCGCTTAAATACTCACAAAATCTCGCTAAATACGTAAATCATCCTTGTTGATTTGTACAAGTCCCTCTTGTCCTGGCGTGGTCGCCATGTTTTTGGTGTCGGGAACGACGAGAACACCAAATAAATCGCTATGACAAGGTCAGACAAACAGAGTCATACTTTTCTGGTCGCCATGTTTTAATTGTACCATGTGCTCCACAGGCACCCCAGCCTTTACACAGGCCTTCCAACACCTTACAAATTTACTTCTCGACAGTTCATAGTATACAGCTATCGTTGATACTCACCAGAGCCAACTTGTATAAGTTTACCAGTTTTCTTTAAAATCATTTGTGAAATGTGTTTGCTGATACCTCTGTCTCCTTTGGGCAGCTTTCCTTCATGCCCCGAAAATTCGCTTGGGATTCTACATCTACTATTTGAACCCCTACTCCAACCAATGCCAAGAACAGAGCGATGGTATGGACAAATTGTAAGTTCATCTATGTTATGTGGCACTTCAAACATACCACAACGTGATAATATTAGCTCCAACTCATTTCGTGGATCAGAAAACTTACAACTGCGRGCATGACTACTTATATCTCTTTTACAGGAAAGTAAAGGGATCACCCGAGTCGAATGAGTACGGTCCCTTCGGTCAAAACTACATATTCCCCCAGAAGCAGACTTAAATGAGCAGCAAATTTCCATCTTTGTCGTCTCGGTTAGAATACTGTAAGCATGAGTTCATAATAGTCCATCAGGTGTTTTGATAAAGGAAACATAGCCGCTTGTCAATCATATGTCTAGCCTGAACACAATCATGTCTGGCAAACAACGCCAACATTAAGAATCCAAACCGTATGTGAAGAAAAACTGAACTGGCCTTCAAACTGAAATAGTTGCTTCTCACAGTAGGAGTTTTAAAAGGTGTGTCAGTTTTTTGATACAAAACTAGACGCATAACTGCGTAAACTCGGGGTTCTCGTTGATAAAATAGTAGTGAATTTGGTTAGGCTCGTTTACACTTGCGTGTTTGACATATATTTACTGTATAATTCGCTTTTGATAAGATAGGTAGCTAGATTGATAGACAATTCATGATATGCAGTAATATAAATATCACAATTTTAATAACTTAAAAGTCATTTAGAGAAATTAAAAAAATAACTGTGTCTACGCCAACTTCGTTTTATTAAAAGAACATGAACAAATATCAAGATAATAACAACAATCGTATTATTATCCTCTCTGCTAAATAAAATAGTTGCAATCGTCGGTTTTTCCTCAGTAGAATTCGGTTCGCATTCCTTAGAGAAGTCCTTTGTAGTTTCAGAGCCTGTAGAATCAGTTAGTATAGWKYTCGCTTTTGATRAGATTGGTAGCTTGTTTGATAGATAGTTCACGATAAATTTCACGATAAGTTTCACAATAAATTTCACGATAAATTCGCGATATCTCTCAAAATGCCCTTTCGAAAAATGCTCGACATCTTTTGGTGTGGTCATACCACGAATGGTGTGCGGATTTATAAGAGATTTTAGCGTGTTTGAAGTTGAATCCATGTCTTCCATCTCGTATAAAGACTACACCTCGACGACACCATGTAAAGATAGCACATGGAAGTTGTGAATGTCACGTGATTCGTACCCAGTGCATTCTAGTTTGGCCGAGACAATTTGTGTACCAAATACGACTACCATGACAAAGAAAGCCGAAACCTAAACTCGCGGTTCCTGTGGAACCCCGAGTAATAAGTGTATCCGAAACGGTATATTCAACTTAAAAGTAATAAATTAATCAGCAGTTAATCTTCATTAAAGATCAAACTTCAACCGCTAATAACAAGGTAAGACTCAGTGCATGATTATTTAAAAAACCTACTACGATGCTAATCAAAAATACGCTAAGCATAATTATTCGACATATATATTTCAACCAAGTTTTGTATCAGGAATATATAAACGTAAATAGTTTTATAAATGAAGAGAAAGATGACTGAACTGATGAAATTCACTTGTCACGTCACGCTCAGAACTCTGTCACGGACCGGCAGACTTATAATAGAAACGATATACCTCAAATCAGAAAAAGAAATGATAAAACAGCCATAAATCTTCTTTGTCAAGACAAGAACTCCAGGAGCTATTAAGGTAAGGTCAAAACTGTAATAAATTTAACTTTGGTTTTTGAAGTAAACAATGATACTATGAGCCGTCATGGTTGATTTCTCAATTCAAAACATTCGATTTTTACCGAACTTTGACCTCACTTTTCGTAAATATAAAACAATTACCGCAACAACAAAAAAATTATATCAAAGAATCAATCATTATTTCGACTTTTTAAATTCCGAAGCATTTTGAATTTGGTTGTATCGCACATAGTTAAAAGCACGTTTATATTTGGGCTATTTTTATAAATACAAAAAGAGTGGTGGATCTAAATATTTCTAAAAAATCAAATAATTCACTAAAATAGTTCATACTGTCAGTCAGCAAAGAAGACATAATCAGCCAAAACATATCCGATTACCAAAGCAAAAGGTTAAATATTTTTGCCAAACGAGGTCACACAATTTGACGAAGATTTTTACTAGCTGAATAGCACTTTGATCGACTTCGGCAAAAAAAATATTTCTTAAAAACAAAAGCATATTTGGACAAATAAACTACACCATTATTATAACTATATAATACACAACAAAACTTTAAAAAATACGATATACTTTTTTAATCTTAACATGTTTCAGCATTACATTATGCCATCCTCAGAAGAATGAGAATAAAAGTCGTTACAAATGATTATATAGTCTAAKTACAAATGATTGACATGTAATATAATATGAACTAAATGAACTAACGTGACTAATAAAAATAACAAGATAACCAGTACATGTTATCTGTTATCCCTATTTATAGATAATATGACAGCTACAGCTTAAAAGAAGTTTTCATATGTTTTACTTGAAYGTTAAGTTCAGGTTTTAAATTGTTAATATAAAAAGCTTCTTTAAGTTTAAGGAGTATTTTGTACTTTGCAGTGTCTAAGATCTTAAAACAATTAAAAGAGTATTTAYCACTACAACTTTTAGATTTCGTGAGGTGTTTGAAGATGTGAGAGTTTTTATCAGAAACAGTATGTTCTTTAATCCTTGTAGAGAAATGGCGAGAAGTCTCTCCAATATAACGAGATTGACATCCCGCACAAGTAAATTGGTAGACTACACAAGATTTAAGACCATCTGGAATGGCATCTTTAACACTAAAAAGTTGTTTCATTAAGTTTAAGGTTAAAGGATGGGATGTCTGTGTCTGAAATTAATAGATTATTGTATGTGGGATCTTTTGTTGTTGCTGATAGGTTRKGTTTGATGAGAAAGCGGAAGGGTAAAAAGACTGAGAAGATAAAGCCAAGGTGGCAGAGGAGGATTGAAAGTAGTATTGTTGAATGGCGGAAAGACTTATCATCAGTAGAAGAGTTTAGAAAGGGTATGGTGCTTAGGAGCAAGGTGATGGATCGACTGGTCAGGAGATATGATATCATTGAGAAAGGAGCAGTTACAGTGGCTGCATTGTTGAGAGGCAAGATTCAGTCAGGAAGTTTGAAGATTAGGGGATATGTGGATAGTTTCACTAGGGTTAGACAGAACAATTTGTTCAAGAACAACCAGAGTCAATTGTACAAGGAA